TTGTATTTGCAGAAAGCTGTAGGTGCTGGTACCCTATTCTTTACCATCGTCAACCTCCCATCCTTTGTCCCACATTTTGTCTTCCCCCAGCTCTCTTTGAGCTACTGTTTTACACTTAGCAGGCACTCAGTCAATCTAGAATAGAAGTAAGCCTATGTTAGGGTTGAGGTCACCACAGGAATTGACTGACGAAAGCCTACCTTAAATAAACAAGAAAAACATCCTTATGGTTTTCCAAGTCCCAGAATACAAACTAAAAGGCAAAGCAGGGCTAATATATTTCAGTCTTCTGTAACCATATCTTGTTTAATACGTATTTAGATTACTTTAATAATCCCTATAATTTTGGCACTTGAGATCATTGGCATTGTCTTGGACAGACCAGTTTTCCCATTAGTCTTTCTCAAGGTTTACCTTATATCCCATCCCTACTACAAATTTCTTTCTAGTTTTGATCAACATTCCCCACAAAGCTGTTTTAATAAGAAGTTTTTGAGAATTAGAATTTTAAAATCAAGATTTCAGAAATGTTTACTTCTTGAAGACTAACTAGTCTCTCAAGCATAGTAAAAGGATACTTTGAGACAGAGGGTAAACATTCCAACAGTATCTAGGATGTGTCCTAGTCTGAGGCCGGACTTGTACTAACATCCATTTCTTCCATGGCTTGCTTATGTGCAAATTTACTAGGTTCTGATTTGGAGTTACTATTCAAAGTTTACATGTTTCCTCCTAATATCTTCCCATGTCTAGTTGAGAAAATGTTTGTTGCTTCATACAGCATCACACTGGGCTCAGCAATACCTGGGTTCAATGATTCCTTGGGACATCATCCCCAAGAGCCCCATTTGACCAAAAATTCTCTAACCACTAGGAGGAAATGGAGACCTACCTACACTTCTTGATCACAGGGACACTGAGGAAAACAAAGAGTGAGTGAATAAGAAGTGTAAGGGGGATTATATCTCTAAATACCGATAAGGAATAGAGTATTCATTTCAGTGCCAATATGTCATTGGTTTGTATATTCAGGGTTGTGCTAAGCAGAGGTCATCCTCTCACTGACCTTTACTATAGGAACCTACTGTATATTTAGAGAAATGCCCATTTAGATACTGTATACAAATGCAGAGCTGTGAAAAAGGTTCATGCTGAAGACTGCAGTGGTTTGGTATCTCTGGAAGGGGCCAGAGGACACCCAGCTTCTGCAAATGACACAATAAACAGTCTCTGTTACCACAGACTCAAAACGCAGTGTGACCACAAAACTGGAAGACAATACACTATGGCCCTATAAATAGAATGGAGCGTTTCTTCTGCTAAATGTGAAGCTTTGCAGGCACTATGTACAGCCTGTTGCATAGCCTTGCATCATTAATGAGAGAGTGAGAGAAAGAGAGAGGAGAGAGAGAGAGAGAGAGAGAGAGAGAGAGAGAGAGAGAGAGAGCTGTTCACCCACTGTAAAACGGAAATGTTCAGTGTGATGAGAACAGCTTTCATGTCTCACTCTAACAACTCACTATCTTATTTTTCAACATGGTAGTGGTTTGGTAATTCTGAAAATTTTACCTGCCTTTTTTCCCTTTAGCTTTCATCATTTTTTATCTTTTTTGCTCTCTTCTCTCTCTCTGTTTTTTCTCTCTCTTCTCTCTCTGTCCCCCCTCTCTTTCTCTCTCTCTCTTTCTGTCTGTCTCTCTCTCTCTGCCCCTCTCCCTTCTCTGTCCTTCATTACTTTTTTGGGGAAGTGAATGAGGATTGGACTGGTTGTTTTCAGAAAAAGGAACTGTATCAATACACAGATCAGTAGCAGTAGCATCCTTGTTGGAGTGGCTGTCACATGAATTCTTCGGAGACTTATGAAGAAAAGAGAAAGAAACTGAAACGGTAGGTTCAAAATTGTTAATGTATAATTAGTTCTCACATGTGCCTTTCACCCTTGGTATCCAGAATTGAACTGTTGGCATCAGGTTCTAGCAATCTGTCAGATCTAAATAGTTACAAGTAGAACGAACTTGAACCATCCACAAAGGTAATTTCCTTGGAGTTTGCACATGCACAAATAATCATATGGTTTTCTGCTTCAGGTGGGAGGAGGAATATTACCTTGAACTTGGCAAAATGTAAGTTGGTATTGGAATGTTTCTTTTTATTGTAATGTATTTAGCTCAACTGATATCAAACAAAATAGAACAGTGAATATTTGTAATTTAGCCTAACTTGCATTAAGGAAGGTTACTGGGTGATTTTTTATCTACACTTTGCTATAATATTTTGGTGATAATATTTCTAAAACTGTTGAATGATTAAAATAGTTGGTCCCTTTCAAAATGCTTTACAAAATGAGAACTACAATATTTCAAGACTTTAATGAGTGTGAATTCATTTTCCTTTGTGTATGAGTTATGTGTTTTTATTGCAAAAGTGAATTGTAGTTAATAGTAACTATAAAGATTCTACTATCAAAAAGGCAGTCTGGAAGAGAAAGCATGCATGCTTATGTGTGAGAGGAAGAAAATAAGACAAGCAGGCACAGCTTTTCTGATTCTCTTAGATAAGCTATGTTTATCAGAGCAAGCAATCAGTACAATAAAAAACAATAGAGAATATAATTTGGGGTTTAATTTACATTTCTGATCACTATAATTGACTTAATATGTTTCTACAAAATGTAAGGGGGATTGTTTTAAGCTCTGTGTCCTTTTTTCTTTTATGGGAATATTAAGAAAGATGCCATAAATTTAAGCAAATAAAAAGCTGTCACTGCCATGTAACTCCTAGGAGCTGTGTTTAAAGATTAAAAGAGGTAAGGGCAGGGATGAAGAGGGATTTGCTTTTATACTTGGATAATTTTCCATGGAAGGAAAGATATAATTATATTGAACAAGAAGAAATGGCTACTTCAGAGAGCTTGGGTCATTCAGCAAAGAGTATTTCTTTCCTCCAGCTGCTGTAAAGTTGAGATAGGCAAGAAATACATTAATTTTATAAGATCTTGTAGCCTAAGCAGATGATATGTTAGTCTCATAGCCAAATATTTACATTATATAAAAGCCAACCTTCAAGAAGTCTGTGGTGATTGTAGAAAATTTGTTTTGTTCTTGGGCATACATGACCTTTCCCTTTTTGCCTATATGTTTGCAGTAATTTTATTTGATGAATGCATCTAATGTATCCTCTCTGGTGGAGACTGTGTAATATGGTAGTATAAAAGCAGAAAAAGAACTTTAGGAAACATGAAGTAGGACATTACCTGTTCTAAATTTCTCTAGAAGACTTTTAAGAATGAATGGATTTAGTGCCTTTTCTGCTAAGTAGCTGAAATGCATGGGAAAAAAGAATATGTCTTTTCTCTTCTTTTGATATAGTACTGTCTCCTTTCATATAGTACTGTCTCCTTTCATATCAATCAAATGACTTACAAGCAGAAATAGAATTTAACTCCTTTCTATGTCTGCTATGCAGTCCCGAGAAATGTAGTACAGACAGTCCTATTTCCTTTGCCTATTAAAATAAATTTCCTTTTAAGGCTGGTCTCTCAAAAATCAGTCTCCTAGGAAGAAAATAAAAAATTCATGGGAATGTTCCCTTGGCCATTTGTGGGAACGAGTGGGGCTTCTTGTTGTTTTTGAGAAGGAAAACTGCTTACATTTTACAATTGGAAAAACTCATGCTCAAAGAACTGAAGTGACTAGGCCAAGTACTTCTTTTCTTTGACAGAGAAAATGCTAAATTCTAGGTCTCTTGGCAGCTTATCTAGTGTTCATTTTACTTCCTCCTGCTGCCTAACAAAGCTAGTGGATTAAGTTTCATGCATTATTCATTGGAAATGTTAAAAGATGTGATTTTGAAATCACTCAAGAACCTCTCAATATCATGAAGCACTTCAAGTTTCCCCAAGGGCTTCGTGATGTAACAGACTGATTTTCTGGGCTTTCCCAGTATTTCTTTGTGAAATAGTAAAGAACTATCCCTACTCTGCCTGTATAGAAAATTATAATAAAATGCAAATCGATACTAAGTGCTTTAATAAAATAATAATATTGTGTGGAAATTGTGTGGTCAACACAGAAGGGAAATAAAGTATTAAGGAAGTTTTGAGATATAGGCATTCCAGATATGGAAAGGCAGTGGAGACTTCAGTATGTCTACCTGGTTAAGACAAGAGTGTGACAAGGCTGGATAATGAGGGTAATTGTTAGGGAGTGGATCCAAAAGTGGACATTCTAGTTAGTTGTTGGATTATTATTAACATTTATCATATACCCAGGCACCATTTGGGATTTGAAAATTGAAGTGAATGTTGTTAGTATAGTCTTTGTAAGCCAAGTGAAAGAGGGCAGTGTACTTCTCTGGCAGAGTTTACATGTACACCACAGCTACACTTGCATTAGCCAACAACCAAGATGCAAACAGAGTGTCCCTGAAGTAGGACTGTAAGATATTAACCAAAATCAACTCTGTACAGATGCTAGAAACTGGGAGCTAGATAAGGAACCCCATTAACTCACATTATTTAGTATGGAAGTTTAAGTTGATTTATTGCCCCAGGCAGTTGTGAGTTACATAGAATCACTCTCTATACTCAGAACAGAAACATGGGCTTCTAATTCAAGGTCAGCTTGAATCCTGTACAGTACAGTCACTTTCTTACTGGGAACAAATCTATACGTCAGCGTCTACAACCAAGTAAAAGAAAAAAATTCACTCATTGCTTTTTTATGCTTTTATAAATTTTTTAAAAATATTTTTTCATACAACAAGAATATGATAGAATCATATTCTTTTCCCTCCCCAGCTCTTGTTCCTCCCTGCCTCCCTACCCACCCAACTCATTTTTTAATTTCAGACAATGCATTTGCTTCTTCAAAAGACATATGTTCAGTGTATAATAGGTACAGGAGACACTATCAGAATTCAGCCACAGATGGATGTCTTTAATATAATAATTACAAACATTTACCTAAAATTATTTTTTGTTTAATTTGACAGATCAGATCCAAATCGTTTTTAAAAGCTGGTGGTGGTTTGCAGCGAGATATTTCTTATAAGTAAGTGATTTGTTTATTACGTTATAAAATAATTCTTATCAAAAGACAAAAGCAATGACAATGACTTACTACTTGGTGCAGTTTTCTTCTCTTAGGTAATGCTAGGTGGTTTATAAGGTTGTATTTTCCTAAAGGTCTTATCTCTTTGGAGGGATAGGCTAAACAGTGTGCTCAAAATGCAAACAGTGTGGGAAGAATAGACTTAGATGTGATTTTGCAGTTAAATATTGTTACAAGTTTGAATAAACGAAGAAAATGCTCATAGAGAGGAGTTTTCAAACATCTGCTTTATTTTAATCTGTATCTGTCTAGATCCCTTTAATTCTTATATCAAGGGTCTTCTTATTTAATCTTGTAAAATACACCCATACTTGTCTGTGATGATAGCACCTTAATTCTACATTCTCAAGTGTGCTTTCAGTTGGAATCTTTCCTTTCACTCATTTTATCTTTTTAACCCTAAAATATTCTGATTCTGAAGTCATTTCTCTTTCTTCCAAGATAACTGTAGATAAAGCCAAGACAGGTTTATTTTTCTACATGCCATAGGATTCTGTATAGTGAAAACTTCAGCCACTTTGTATAGTAGTACCAGCTTCTCTGAGGAAGAGCTACTAAGAATGGTTGGTTTTTTTATCGAGTAGGTATAGCCCACATCAAGGTTGTATGACTTCTGCTCTCAAACACTATGACCTCCAAACATTCACAAAACTTAAAAGAAAAATCTATCTAGATGCAGCAGTACAAATAATGCTACTCTTAGTTTTGAATTGGAAGGTCTAGATAACTAATGTAGGACTGGAACCAATAGTATTCTGAGTGCTTCCCATACCTTGGGGTTGGAGCTCCTCTTGTCTCTGGCCACCTGGCAAAAAGATCCTTTTAGTTGTGGGCACTAGTGTTAACACCCCTCAATGTAAACTCTAAGAAGATAGTTATGACTCTGCAGAGGGAACTAAACTGTTTTTCCAAACACAATTTGACATGTTCATAGTTGATGTAGAATTCATTCTTAATACCCTCTGTAGTTCTACATTTCAGTATTAAAAAATCACACATTGCAAAAAATCTCTGTGTCTGTTTTAGCCTTACCTAGAGAAAAATCAGAGCAAATTTAAAACTGCCTGGCTTTGGGGAATCATTAAATTAGAAAATTCTGTGATGTAGTCCAATAGGCAAGAGATATTAAATTTGATTACCTTAGGTTATAAGTTACTGTCGGACTGGGATGTGGGCCAGTCACATATGGCTACAGTAAAACCACAGGCTAAGTGAATACCTGGATATGTGATATGTGTATGATAGATGTGCATGATGGCTTGGTTATGCTGAATACAGACACTGTCTTTCTTCTTTTCATTTACTGACATTTGGTTATAGACATGAGTAGGAAATTGGAACTATTTGTACACACATTCAAATTCAGTGCTAAGTCATCCTAGTACATAGTACTGTATGATGCTACCTTGACAATTTAAAGTCTAATATTAACAACTTCATGCATTAGCTCATGTGTCATGTTTGGTCAAAGGATAAGAAATGCTGTTTTAAAGAAGTGGTGAGTAGTCCATTTTATTTTTCTGTAAAACTTCAGTGTATTAGTCAAGAGGTTTATTTTATTTTCATATCTAGAAGTTGGTTCACAACAAACAATTTTAATTTCACACAGGCTTTTTTTTTATTGATGTGGAGTTAAAATTACACTTGAAAAAATGGGTAGGAAGTAATGAGGTTTGACTTGATCATTTTCAATCCTAATTGTACTAACTTCATGGTGTTTATGAAGATTCCCAAGTCATTGCTCATTGTCTCTTCCCTTGGCTCTAGGAGTCTATCTGTTTCTTTAACAAAGGGAAAACATTCAGAGCTTTGCCAAAGTAGCTTAGGGTTTTGGAAGCATCTGTGACTTCTCAGTTCCTAATGGTTCAGGATACTGGCTTCAAAGGAAGGCAAAAATTTCACCAGGTTCACACAGTTTCCAAGCTTTGATTGTTCTCATACAAAATGTATCTCCATGGTAACATATGTTCTTAACAACAATTTTAAGTTAAATTAGTAAATATTTAAGCAGCTACCGAGAATCCGGATTTAGCAGATCATTAGTACCTATCTACTACTAACCCTAAATTTTATCTTGAATTTTTAATCATCAAAACCTATTACAACCCTTCCTTATTGTGGAGTATAATGTACTAAAACATTGGGGAAAATATATTACATGTTTGCATCCAATTATTTTCCTTCATTTTAGAAATGAAGAAATTTATACTGGCCAGGTGTTGGTGGCACATGCCTTTAATCCCAGCACTTGGTAGGCAGAGGCAGGGTGATTTCTGTGAGTTCAAAGCCAGCCTGGTCTACACAGTGAGTTCCAGCACAGGATACAAAGCAATACAGAGAAACCCTGTTTCAAAAAAGAAAGGACGGAAGGAAGGTAGAAAGAAATTTATACTAAAGAAGTGAAAAAAACTTGCTCAAGTTATACCAGTTGTCTTGGTTCTGCTGCCTTTTCTGAAAAACTACCTCATTAAAGTATGATTGCTATTTGAAAGTTTTGTGCATTTTTAATTCAAACCAAGTTATTTTGCAGGTTAGAGTTCTTTCCATTACTCTGTTGTCTCCATATATGAAAAAGCCAAAATTTACTATCTTGTTTGAACCTTTTCACTTAGGGATCAAGAAGATTTATAATAATAGAGAGAGTCTAAATGTATAAACAATTTCAAAACAGTCAATTTATGCTTATTGAACTTGGGAAGGGTCGATACTACCTATATAAAGGGCACCAATAAATAAAATGGGGGATTATATGATAAGCATTATTTCAATTTTTTCAATCAAACTTGATAGTGTATTTATGTTTCCTGGGTAAAATGAGTAACAAAAGGAGGCATATAAAAAAAAACTCTTATTTCAATGAAGCAAATTTGAGTGGGGAAGATAAGCCACACATATGACTATAAAAATGTAATATATGATACTCTTTGCCAAAAAAGAGATTTAATACACTGCTTTTTAAATATTTAATATTTGTTTTTAATTGTTTTGAAACTACTGCCTTCAATGAAGCTGGTATGATCTGAAAGGTAGATTATGTCAGGGACACTAGAAATTTCATAAAGTTTGCTTGGTTGTGCCTAAGCTATGACATCACCAGGGTTTAAGTGCAATGACATTACTAGGGTTTAAATGCAAAGGTCCTATATTATATCTTTAAGGCTCTGTGAGATATTAAAACAAAATATGTGATTCTATATGTAATACAAACATAAGGGAAAGGCCTGGAAAAAATTCTACCTAAATCTCCTCTAAATAGAGCTTAGAGACTAATTTTATTTTTGTATGTGTTTGATTTATGACCTCTCATTGAACTATGTGCATTATGATGCTCAAGAATTGGTGGGAGGAAGTGGACATTATCTTCCATGAAGAAAACCATGGAGAAACGGAAACTGTGAAAGGAGATAATTGAGCAAGTTTTGTGCCTTTGAGTAAATTGTTGCATTAGCAATAAGGAAGGGAGTTCCCTGTTTCAGGTGCATATAACAGTCTATGACTACATTAGAAAAAATAACTGGACTCTGACATTCTTTAGTTTAGGAGGTCATTGTTGGAGTAATCTTGTCATCTCTGAGCTCAGATGTTAACACAATATTATACAATACATGAAGAAGATCTTAGATCATCTTCTCTCAGTATAAATTAGTCTGAATCATTTACTCCTGCTCACATTGTACTTAATTACATGTTGACATTTCCTATCTAAGAAAAAAACAGAGAAATAGAGGAATCATCTCTGTTTCTGAACACTGTTATAAATCATAAAAAAAACATTGCTGGAGTTTTAAGTCATGTTCCTTTATGGGTTATAAAAATGAACAAAAAAACTAAGCTTCCTCATGTCCCAGTATAGAAAACAGTATGAGTGAGAACACTTCCCTTTGGTAAATGAACAGACATTTAAAAAAAAAAAAAAAAACTGGTCTGAGTTCCTCTGTACACTTTCCAAAATACCATGTTATTGCCTTGCTCACACTGGGAAAACTGAGTCTCACCTAACTTTTCCTTGATAGATTTTCATCAGCACACAGAAGCAATATGCTCGGTTAAGCTTGCAGCTTGAAATGCTTATGCACAGCAATAGTTGCACCTGAATAAATGGAAAAGAGTAACATGAGGATTATGGATCAGGGAAATCACTGACTTTGGACATGCCTTGTGATTGTTTAACTGCCTTGAAATTTATTGTGGGTGTGTATCCCAAATCTGTGGCCCTCTTCTATAGGTCTTCACATTTTACCTATTCAATTTAGAAATTGATTTTGTATATTTCTTGTGACTGGCAGGTTATTGCTGTGAGGCAATACATTTTTCTGGACAGGGCATACATAATTTTTGCATGAGATCTAATGGGCTGACTTGGTTTGTAAACAAAGTGTTATTTATTTTACCGCTGTACCCCTTGTTTTGTGGTCACTTGTTTATCCCATTGTGACATTAGAAAAACAGTTAAAGAATCGCATTTCCAGTTTTGAATGCCAATGAAAATGGATAAACTAATGTAAAGAATGTGCATATGTCTGTGATCCTCTATGGGGGCAGAGAGAACAGGATGTTGATGAAAGAAGTGCGAATGTGTAGCTGTTTCTTCTGCACATCCTAAGGCAGTGTCCAGGATATTGAAGAAAGTGTGGTGATACTGAGTTTGCTGATTTGTATGTGGTTGTCTGATTTACAGAATTAATATCTCTTAATAATGTAATAATGTAAACCCCACCTTCAAATGATGTGACTGTATGAAAGGGGAATTATCTACACATAGATAATGTAGGAATAATAGAAGGAAAAAAATAGGCTTTTGCAGTAAGACAGGTTTCAGGCCCAGCAATGAATTAACTTATATAGTAAAGAATTAATCCTTTAAGATAACTACTTCAGTGATCTTGTTTTTAAAGCCAAATTATTAATGGATTCTAACACCCTATCAGCAGAGTTTTAATAAAGGGTTAATAAAGTCTAAAGTTTACTATCTGTTTTGATAGTAAATTGGAAGTCACGATAATATTTGCGAGTTATTGTCACCATCAGATATCAGATATACAATTTAATCATCATGCTATCCCAAGTGCTGCCTGTACATGAATTGACTTCAGTTGTAGAGTCTTCCTGGGAAGGTTTCATTTATTATACAAAGCATTGGGAGCTGGCTATAACCTATCTACCCATGGAGATGGGCCTGAATCCATAATGGCTCCCGTAGTTTTTGCAAGTAACTGGTAAAAATATGCTTCCTGTGAAGATCATGGAGATTGCCTTCAGTTCTATCCTTAATGCATTAGTTTAAATTCACTTATGAATTACAGTAGATTTTACTTTCAAAGTAAAAGCATCAGTTCGAAGGAGATGAAAAAGCAATTAGAAACCAACAAAAGCTCTGATCTCTGTTTATATTAGTGATGTGAAAAGGGCAAACCAACCCTGCTTAGCTCAGTGAAGTAGTTAAGTGTCTTCCTATCTATCCCTTAGGACTGATAACTTTGAATTCTGAAGTCTCTGGTGATGCCTTTTTATAACTCATCCTCTTTGGGAGTCCTTTTATTCCACTTTTTTTTTGAGACAGGTTTTCTCTGTATTGCTTTGTAGGCTGTCTTGGAACTAGCTCTGTAGACCACGCTGGCCTCGAACTCAAAGAGGTCTGCCTGCCTCTACCTCCCAAATGCTGGGGTGCTGGGGTGCTGGGGTTAAAGGTGTGCACCACCAATGCCTGGCTTATTCTGTGTTTTTGTTTGTTTGTTTGTTTTGTTTTGTTGGCTGCTCACTGTACAGCTCAGGTGTTCCTCAAACTTCTGATTCTCCCGCCTCTACCTCCCGACTGTTAGATTCTGTTCCTGTGTCACCACAGCCAGTAGAACAAAATAATCAAAACAAACCTGCAATCAGTTTTTCTGAAGCATTTGTTGAGATTCTCCTGTGTTTCTTGAGCATAGAGGCAAAACAAAGCATTGACAGTATTTACTGAGCACCTATTAATGATAAGCCCCATTAATCTCACTGAGTTTTACTTGAAAGATCTCTTGTAATCTTGATGGTGCATCTAAAAGTGGGCTTCATCTATTCTACTAACTTCCTAAGATGAAGAAATTGAGAATATGAGACCAGGTGACATGGGGAGAACAAAAGAGGAAAGGGTGATTGATTTAAGCTTCTCCTAGAGAAAGTTTCAATCCATGACTTCAGTAGGAAGAGTTTTCAGTATATATGATGTTAAAAGGACAAACCTGAGGCTCGTTGCGTAGGTGGGGACTATCACATTGTTTGCTTTCCTGCTATATTTCATTCATGCCCTCTCCTCCCAATTGTAAGGGCCTTCACAACACCCATGGTGCAATATAATGGCTATCAGGTAACTCTACTGCTAGCCCAGGAAATATTGTCTCCCACCATGTTCTTTTCTTTCTTTCTTTCTTTCTTTCTTTCTTTCTTTCTTTCTTTCTTTCTTCCTTTCTTTCTTTCTTTCTTTCTTTCTTTCTTTTGTGTTTTTTTATTTAGTATTTTTTTCTTATTTTACATATCGATCCCAGTTCCCTCTCCCTCTCTCCTTCCCTCCCTCTATCCCATGCCCCCCAACCCCCTCCCATCCCATTCCCTCCCCCTCAGCAGGAAGGGTGATATCTTCCAGGAGGAATCATCAAAATCTGTCAAGTCATGTGGAGTAGGGTTTAGGCCCTACCTTCTGCCTCTAGGCTACGGGGGTAACCCTCCATTGATCTCTCTGTGTTCTTTTACTTCATTCTTTTAACAAGTAAGGTATACCTCTTTAGATTCTATCCCCTTGAATTTCTAAATAAAATTTTGTACTTGCCCTTTATTGTAGTTAAAAGTATGCTGTCTAGCTTGGCAGTGGAGGTGTATATCTTTAATCTCTGCACTTGGGAGGAAGAGTTAGGTGGATCTTTATGGGTTTGAGGCCAGCCTGATCTACTGAGTGAGTTCCAGGACAGCCAGGGCTATTATACAAAGAAACCCTGTTTCAAACAACAACAACAACAAAAGTGTAATGTCTAACAAACCCTTGCAGATCTCACTTTATTAGGAGAATCTTGGAAACACGGTGCCTATAAGGACTGGATGTGTAACAGGTTATTTCAGACAAGTTGGCATGCCTTAGCAAGTGATCACAATATAAAAGTTAAATTCAGAAAGATGAGGTGTAATCATTGGTTTCCATACTCACCTTACATAGAAGCAACATACAAGCATGTCAAGGGCACATGTAAGGCAGCTCAGGGAAAGAAATATGACTTCTAGCAACAGCAAGGCTTATAATCAGTGGCCAGCTCAGTCTCCTTCCTTGTGTGTTACTAGGAAGTAAGACAACTGCAGTGAGTAGAACCTCTCAGAAACTGCTGACAGAGGAAAAGAAAACTGCTTCCCTCCAATCATGCTGTGAGTTTGACTAGAGAATGTGGGATTTTTCTAGGATAACTCATCAATGTTGAGAGCACCTTGTGACCAGGGAGTGACTTGTGAAGCCTGCCAGTGGCATTCCTATCTTCTCTTACTCTTTTCATAGGCTGCCAGGTCCAACGAAATGTCAGATGGTAAAAGGACTGCTACACACTCTACTTTGCAACCACTAAAGGCCAGATGTAATCATCTGTTCATTCCCTTTTGCCTCTGGTAATCCATTTTGATGTCTCATTATGCATGGCCTCTAAAACTTCCTAGTTCTCCATGCTGCGTTTGATCACTACTTTTTTTTTCCTTTAGGCATGCATGAATTAATCATCGCAGTTATCACAGCATCTGCAAGGGACCTCATTGGAGTGATTAAGAGCTTCTATCAGCACTGGATAAAACAGTAGGTACTTAAACATTATTTTGACTTTTGTTTCGGCATCCCTCCCCCAAGGTTACTCTTTTACCCAGATGTAACCAGGCAGGTACTGAGAGCCTCTACTAGATATCTGCTGCAGGTTTGCTGTTCTGTATAGTAAATCATCATGTAGTGTAAAGGCAACAACAGTTCAATGATGTAGCCTTGCATCACATGAAAGAATTTGTAGGATTTGGTAAAGCATGGTTTTTAATTTTTGCTTTTTGGGACAATGTAAGAGCCTGGCAAAACTAAAATTCATAATTATCCAATTTTTAATTGCTATTTAGATATATTATGTCCATTTTCAATATTTTTGATATTGTAAAACATATTACATTATATTACTGCTTACATTTGTTACTGGTTTTTCCAGCCACTTAAATCAAAGGGATTACTTAAGTCATTCCATTATAATCCTGTCTCTATTTGTCTGAACTGTTTATTTCATAGTGTTAAAAAAGAAACTAGAAATCAGGGTACCTAGTCTTTACTTATATTTGAAATTAAATTTGTAATGATTATGTAAACATTTTCAACATTACACACATACACATATGCCACACACTTGCCTCTGTGCATACACAAAATAAATGTTGAGAAAGAATATGACATTTTCTAAAAGGTAAACTTATAGTGAGCATAAACAAATTATGTAAATATTATACGAGTATTTACTCATTTGCTGACAAGTCTATGGTTGGACACATAATAAAAAAAGGTATAGAATTCAGAATGAGAAGTGTAGGTACTTTTTCCCTCTTCTTATTCCAGTGCTGATCTCAGAATTATATTACTCAAGCACCAATATAGATATATAATCACTATTAGGAGATATGCATAGTGCTTACAGCTTGAAATGTAGACATTTTTAAGTTAAGAAAAGGAGCAAAATAGAAAGTGGCTTTTGGATAGATGGAGGCCTGAGAAAGGGTAATAAGAGCTGGGAGTGATCAAAAATTGGTATACAGGTGTATGTATGAAGTGGCCACGGAATAATAAATAAATAATGAGCAAAATAATTGCATAGATAAATTGAATGTGGTTGTACCCCTGCTGATATACCCTGATAAAACAAATTATATCCTTAACCAGGACATTACCTGTTTAATAACCACTTTTTCTACTGTAGTACACATGTCCTCTGTAGGGGAATTTGATTATATTTATCGGAATGTATTTCAATAGTATTCAATTTTTGCATCTGGAAGCCACATTCAAGTTATTGAACCAGTTGTTTATTTTTCTTTTTAAATTTCATTTTACATTCCAACAACAGTTCTCCCCTCCCACCACTTCATCCCACCCTCCCCTAAACTGATCCTACCTGCCTTCACCACACTGCAGCACCCCTGCTGCCTCACCCCACCCCTGTCCACTCCCACTCCTCCTAACATGTAAGGGCTCCCATGAGGAGTCAAAGTCTGGCACAATAGGTCTGGTCAGGCCCCCCTCCCATCCATTAAGGCTGAGCATGGCAGCCCACCATGGGGAATGGGCTCCAACAAGTTACCAGGTTTGTAGTTTCTTTCTAGTTGCATATTATCCTAGAAGAGGAAAGATTTTTTTTTCTTGAGACTTTTTTTCTAATATAGTGAGTAACAAGAGACAGGATAAATAAAGTCAGCCATCTGTTCACAACATATTATATATTACTGATACATGATAAAATAGTCTATATAGCAAATGGCATGTATCTATCATCAAAAATGACCATCTATTAGCTTAAATAATGTACTATACATGTATTGAAAGTATTAATGGATGAAGGTAATATGTGATCTTTGTGGTTTTGTGGCAATATGAAACAGGGACAAATTTGAATTTATTAATTTCATACAGTGTGTTTTAATCATGTTCACACACACCCCAACTCTTCCCTGATTTCCTTCCCTTCCTTACCCACCCAACTTTGTGTTCTTCAAAAAAAAAATTTCAAGATAATTTTGCAGGTCAAATATGCTTGATTGTGTGATGTGTGGTGTTTCATTGGAAACTTACCAGGGTACACTCTGAGAGAAAACTATCTTTCTCTCTTCCAGCAGCTAATAGTTTTATGGCTTCTCATGGAATTGTGTGTCAAACTCTGTTATCCATGATAGAATTGTATCATGATAGAATTGTATAGGTTTTGTGGGTGCTGTTGAAAACCACTGTTTGTATGTGCAGTTGTCCTGCTGTGTCTAGAAAATAATGTTTCCTTGTGTTCACCTACTCCAGGCTCTTATACCCTTTCCTCCTACTACTCTATAATTATTACTGAGCCTGTGCAGGGGGATATGCTCCCTTTATGGCTGAGAATTATATACTCTGTTATTTTATGCATGTTGACAAGTTATGGTTTTCTGTGTTATTCACTATCTACTGCAGATAAAAGCTTCTCTGATGACTGTTGGGAGATGTATTAATCTATGGGTATAAAGATAAGTCATTGGGAGTCAGTTTAACAATGTGCCCAATTAACAGCTAAAAGTAGTAGGCTCTCCCATACAGTCTATGACCTGTCTAACCATAAGTTCTTAGTCTGATAATAGTGCCAGGTATGGGTTTTATCTCATGGTACAGGCCGTACATCCTATCAGAAAGTTGGTGGTTGCTCCATGATGTTTATATTATGTCTGTGGGTATGTCTCCCCCATTCAGTCATTATTGCAGTTCACAGTGTTCACAGTTGGGTAAGACTGATTATTACATCTCTTTCTGGTAGCAAGCACAGCATCATCTAGCATTATGAAAGATAGACAGTGGAGGTGATGTTTCCAGGTCTATACCAGCTTGATATCTTCATGTCCTGTGATTCAGTCATGTGATATCTTCAGCAAAATAGTCTTACTGTTAAGTTCTGGAGAGTGACAAGGAGCAATAGCAAAAGCTTGCAATGTTTGTTGGTCTATTGGACCTCAGTGGTCAACATTTATCCTCTAGTAGGGATATTAATAGAGAGAGAGAGAGAGAGAGGAGAGAGAGAAGATAACAAAAACAAAACAAAACAAAAAAACACCAATGATAGATACTTTTTTTTTTTTTTTTACAATTGCTGGCATATATATAGGTGTGTGTGTGTGTGTGCATGTATGTGTTCAAAACTTTTCCCGCACTCCCTCTTCTGTCCTATCTCCCAAACCCAGGTTAACATTTTCTCTTCCACTATTCCATTTAACCCTTTATAGATGGAAATTCTATCCCCCTCCCTTAAAAGCCCTTCTCCATAGCCCCTTAATATTTTCCTGGCCTCTATGGGCAGTCCTAGTGAAACACACATGTCTGAAAAAGAGTTCAATATTTGAATTTCTGGGTCAGGGTTACCTCACTTATTAGGATTGTTTCCAGTTCCATTCATTTACTTGAAATTTCACAATTTCATTTTCTTAATAGCTGAATAATAGTCAAATGTGTAAACATACCATAGTTTTATTATCCATTCATCACTTGATAGACCTCTAGACTCTCTCCATTTCATGGTGATTCTGAATACAGCAGCAATAAACTCGGACAAGCTGGCATCTATACAGTATGATGTGGAGTCTTTTGGGTATATGTCTAAGAATGGTATAGCTGTGTCATGTATTTTTAACTTTTTGAGACTTCACACTAATTTGTATAGACCAGTGTGTAATCCCATCAGCAGCGAATCACTGTACCCCTTTCCCCACATCTGGACCACCATTTGTCATTGTTTTGTGTGTGTGTGTGTGTGTGTGTGTGTGTGTGTGTGTATACTAAATGTTAAGCTTATGTATTGTTGATTTTAGATACTTTGTCTATATCATAATGAAAAGAGGTTTTTTATTTTATTAATGTAATATTTTCATATGTTCTTCAATATTTACATACATGTACATACATGTATACATATATTTTTATCTTATCCATACTCACCTCTCCAACTCCCCCCACATCAATAACCCCCTTTTAACACTGAAGAAAATTGACTGTCCCTCCCACCATAGACATCAATTGCAAATAGTTCCTCATCTAGGTGGCCTCACTCTGATCCATGCTAGAATTGTGATTGGCTTGATCTTGTGCAAGTCTTGCATTGACAACTACCCAGATGCTGTGAGTACATGAGTCCTGTTACATCCAGAAGATAACTACTTTTCAGACATCTCGCATATCCAAAGTCTGGCTATTGCAATCTTTCAATCCTTGTTCTGCATAGTTAGTCCCCTTGATCTGTGGAGGAGGATGTGGGATATAAATGTCTCATTGAGTACTGAGAACCATCTAGTTATTGATTCTTTGCACTTTATCAGTTGTCAGTTCCTGTATCAGCCACTATCAACTGAAAAGAGAAGCTTTGCTGATGAGCTTAAAGTTAGCCATCCTGACTGGGGTGAGATGAAAACTCAAAGTGCTTTTAACTTGCATTTCCCTAATGGCTAAAGGTGTTGAACATTTTAAAAATGTTTCTCAGTTTCATCTTTTCAGAACTCTCTGTTTAGATCTATGCCCTAATTTTTAAACCAGTTACTTGTTTACTCATTCTTTCCTTTTTTGAGTACTTCATATATTCTAGATACTAACTTTCTGTTCAATGTATAACTGGTAAGTTTTTTTTTTACCTGTTCTATAAGCTGTCTTATCACTCATTTGCTGTACAGCTATTTTTGTTTCATGAAGTTCCATTTATTGATTTATTACCAATAATTGAACAGAAAACAAATAAAGCCATCCAACAAACAAAACTCTTAAGAAACCATTTTGAATGGAGAGTTAGTTGAAATGCATGACAAAAAAGATAATGTTTATATTTCTAAAGCCATATCAAATCCGATATTAAGACTATCAGTGGCCTTCTGAGTTCAAGGACTTTCAAGGGAGGGGAGAAAAAATGTAGGCCTATAAAGGGTTAAAAGGAAGTAACAGGACAGGAAGGGCAAAACTGGGGTAAGTGAATGGAGGGTAGAGCAGGGAGTAAAAGGAGGGATAAACAACACTTGTATGGAAGATAATTATCACGATTTTAAATAAATTTACTCTTAGGGT